TATTTTGAATTATAAAATGACATATATATTTTATAATTAATATGACATCCAATGTAATTATGAAAAAAAAAAATCAAAACCCTATATGATGTAGCTACATCCTATGCCTATGCCTATAATGGAGAGATCAAAATAAGATTTTAACATTAAAATAATAATAATAATAATAACACAAAGGCATCAATTGTCATGTAAAAAAAGAACGCAAAGGATTTTTTTGGGTTTTTATGTTGTTTTTAGTTTTGGTTAGGGTTCCATATCATTTAAATAAGGTTATTAACAAGTCGAGTTAAGTTAAATTCGAGTATTTGATAAGTTCTAAATAGTTGAATTCAAGCTCAAGTTTGCAAGTGTTCGAGCGAATTTGACTTCACGAGCTTGAGTATGAACTCGAGTGAGTGAGTATGAGCTCAAGTGAGGAAGTATTTTGGTTTAAATTTGAGTTTTACTTTAATTTTTTTGTAATTTTAAGTTGTTTTAATAACCAATTGTTCAACCATAAATATGTCTACATTTTTCATAAAAATTGAAATATCAAAAGTCTAAATAAGGGTATTATATTAAAGTCTAACAATAAAAGAAATTTAAAACTCCATTTAAATGTTTTTGTTATTAGTTTTAAAAAGCTCAAACTAAAATTCATTCAATAAATTATATGCCATCATTCAAAAGAAAACATTCTTTTTTCTTCGAGTCTTGCAAGCCGACACCAGAAAAATAAAAATATAACAAAGCCAAGCTCAAGTTCAAGCTCAGGCTTGTAATAAGTTATTATATACACTTAAATTATATATAAGAAAATCCAAAACTCTCTCTCTCTTCTTTAGAACTCTCCAGCATCTGCCTCGAAACTTCTCTAGTTTTCATCCCCTTTTGGAGTGTTCGGAAGCCTCTAGGCTTCTTGAGCTTTTGATGCGCAAGCAGTAGGAGGGCTTCTCAAGCATGGTGGAGCCGGTCAACCGTGCTCCTATGTTCGGTAACCACTTTAGGTGGTTTGTTGGCTCTTTTGTGGCCTTGTTGGTGGCCTTTGTTCTCTTTTCTTTCTATTTCTTGTTTCTTGTTTTGGTTTGCTCGGATTTGGTAGCCAACAAACTAATCATGAAGAATTCAGGGGATGGCCGTTGCTTGCTCTAATGTTCTAGCCACAGCATCTTGGAGAACAGGCATAATTTATGTAAGAGTAGATGGAAGGGTGTCCAGTCCTCTGAAATGGTCGACCATAGGAATCTGTCAAAATTTGTTTTCTTAGTGGTTGTTCGTGTAAAATGCTCACTACCCCTCTTTTATCTATCTTATGTTAAACTTGATTTACTTTTCATTTGATCTACTTTTCATTTTCTCTCCAATTGTGCTTATCTGTTTGTAATTTCTTCTTATCAATGAAATCAAAATTTCTTATGTAAATGCCGTATAGTTTTGATAAAATGATATGTTTTTCATTGAGTTCAAATATATATATATATATATATAAATGCCAACGACATAAGCAACATAATGATCATCTCTTTTTATTGGAAATAAAAGATTTTGAATTCATATCGCATGGCATGCAAGTGGAATTATATAAGGGTGAGATAAGGGATATGAGATGATTGTCTCATATTGTGCAATTAAAATAAAAATATATATATTATATTTAAATTAACACATAAATATATAATATAGTTTTTAATTTTAAACCAAATATTCATAAGTAGCTTGTACGTATTGATCTAAATTCAAGATTAGACTCATTTTTATCAAGTTTAATATTAAATTTAAGCTTAAATCAAATATTAAGTAAATTAAATTTAAGTCAAATTTAATTCAAATAACTTAATAACACACCAGTTAAACTAGTGGTCAACGCCCTCGTTCAAGTAGTTATTTTGTTCTCAAAACTTATAAGCGGTGTTCAGTCCAAGTGTAGTTGGCCCGGTTGTGTGGCGATGGGCTAATCTTACCGGAGTAACCGTCGGGTCCAGCTCTAACAAAATGGTCGCAGGTTCAACCCAAGACTTGGAGGGCTAGGCTCTGGAACCTAAACGTGAATCTGAAAACCTGTAAATAGTTGCTTGGTGGACCTTGTGGCTCGGGCCTCCCTTGCCGAAAGAGAGCTTTGCGTGGCCCAATTCTAGTCCTTCTCTCAGCCCAACAAAATTTTTTCTTAAAAATTAGAAAAGAAAAAAGAATTACATTTAATTTGAGTAGCCATTAGGTCCACTTGGATTATCATATATATTCATTTATTTAATGTCACATATAATTGTAAACTTAAAAGTGGTATTGTAAAGGAGAATGATTGATATTGAGAATGCCTAGATTGTCATTGAGATGCATGACTTGCTTTTTTTGTTTTCCTTGAAATTTATGATAGGAATAATAATAAAAAAAATATTACATATAATTAAGAAAAAAATGTATGTTATTCCTACTTCTTAAAAAATTAGAAATTTTAAGATTCAAACTTTATGTTTTTAGTAAAAGCTATTATTTATTTTTTGAAAAACAAAATATCTAGAGCGCTTATGTGGTGCCTAAACACGACAAAGGCATTAGTTGATACTCAAAAAGTACCATTGTTAAGTGCTTTTTGCAACATTATTTATTGTTAGTGCTTAACTTTAATTATCAACATTATTAAAATATTTTATTCTTAATATCTTTAATGATTCTTTTTGTATATTAATATTTTAGTTTTCTTCATTATCATTTTTGGCACATTTTGCTTTTCTTCATTCTCTAATTTAATATTCTCTCTTGTTTAATTTAATTGCTTTAATTTGACTTTTGTTTAAAGTTTGATAAGATAATTTGATATAATAAATAGATGACAATTTAATTTTTTTTCTTATATATAGTTCTTATTAAATATTTTTACTTAAATCAAAATTTTTTTTTCAATTGCCATCCATTTGCTACATAAAATCAATAAGTTAATTTACATATAATTAAGAGACTATGACAACTAAAAAAGACAAAAAAATTGACCAAAAAAAAGTTTTTTTCAAATTCAATTGCACAATAAAAGTTCATTATGGAATTTCAATAAAAACATCAAACTCATTTCCTTTTTTTTTTTTTTTAATGATCACAATTTGGGCATTATCATAGTTGAATATTAGTACCACTCAAGGCATTGGATGCACCAATTAACTTTCATATTTTGAACTCTTTTCTCCATTAACTTTTTTCTTAACTTAAATAGTCTACAACTACCAACCCATAGAGTTAAGATATGATCCATTGCGTTAAATATTATCAGAAAGTGGATCCAAGATGGCCTATGGGCATTTCCCCCTCTTTTAAGGGGGCTTTTATTCTTTTTATAGAAGGCCCATGACCCACCATCGTCAACTACCTCATCCTGGCAGCTTCTGCAACAAAAGATTTCCAATTTTTTAAACTTCAGAGAGCTTCAAAGGTTCAACGTCCAACCTCTCAATTCCTTCCCCAAACAACGTAAAGATAAAGAAAAATCAGAAAAGGGAATAAAAGGAACATGTTTAAGAACTCATAGCAGCACAATTACTATCAAAATCAATGTACCAAAACTAAAAATTTTAATAAGCATTTTGGTTAATTAACAATCAACTAGTTCTAGATAAGCAATAAAGCATAATACACAGAATTTAACATCAAACTAAAATGCAAAACATTAATCTGTATCTTTGATTCAAAACATGAAAAAAGAAAAGAGTATGTGTCATGAATCTGAGACTAAAAGAGCATCCCAGATCATGTCCATGTCCAAGGAAGGCATTCTACTCAACTGTACAGAATCCACATCTGATATGACATCCGGACTCTTCTTGTTCTCATTCACCCTTTCATCACCTCTTTTTCCTACATTCTGCTTAAGATCTTTCTGTTTTTCTGTGGATAGCATGTCGGTATCAGTCTTTTTGGCAGCAGAAATACCCTGTGATATTGCCTGTAACTTGGCCTTGAGAAGGGCAGCGGTGGCTCCGGTCAAAGAATTGGCCTTGAGTTGGTGCTTGCGATCTGGGAAATTCAGGTTTGCATGTTCTCCACGGAGAATGTACGCCGCCGTGTCATACGCCATGGCAGCATCCTCTGCCGTGTCAAAAGTCCCCAACCAAACCCTTGTTCTATTTCTTGGCAACCGAATCTCTGCCACCCATTTCCCCCAATGCCTCTGCCTCACCCCTCTGAATAGCTTCCCAGGAGATGAAAACGAGCCCTTTTGATTCAGATTTTGTAATCTCCTCCCTGCGTACTTCATTTGCTGTGTCTTGGTGGAGCTGAGCCAAGTTTTGGATTGGTACTTCCCAGAATTCTGATTCAGGATGTGCCATTGGTGGTCGTCCTGTTGTCCTGTTTGGGACATATTATATGTGGGATTTTGAGACAGAACTGGCTTTTCTCCCTGCAGTAACGGATCTAACATGGCGGGTTCAGGCAAAACTAGAGTCAAGTTTGGGAGTTTTGCAAGTGAAGAAGGAGGACAAGGTGGTTTCGAAACTGGAGCAGCCTGGTTTAGTTTCGGAAACGACTCTAGGAAATTCACAGGCACAACATCAAGAACTGAACAGAATCCTGACAGACCATCCTGTTTAATGAATCCAGGAGTGTTAGTCACCAAACTGCCTCCTGCAGTAGCCTGATCATGATCTGCTGAAGAACTCGAACTGGCGGAGTTCGAAAGCAGCCTATCAGGTGATGATGGCGAGGAAGATGTTTGCAAACCACTAACACTTCCCATAGTGCCATTTTCGTGGTAGACAGTCCCGGATTGAGCATCCCAAATGACGGGATTCCTCAAAGATTTCGACCCCATTAAGGCATGAGCATAAGGAAGCCATTCCTTGGGTAAGAAGGTATCTAATTTGGGAAACTGATCTTCCATAAACTGAGGCGTTGTGTTTTGGATGTGAAAATGGAAGAAAAAGAAAGAGATAGAAATGATTCAAATCAAAGCACTAAGCTTTATACCTCAACCATAAAGCAGAATTCAAGTGGAGTTACATGTTAATCCCTGATTAAAAGAAAGAGAACAACCACAAAAAAACCTACTTTAATGTTTAAAAATAAAGTTATCTTCTAAGTTAGAGAATTCCCAAATTCAGTAGATTTAGTGCTTGCCAATTTCAAAATGTTTATGTTAATAACCAATGAATATTTGACAATTCAAATCTCCTAGGCTTATCTATCATCTAGGTGTCATCTAGTGTTCTTGTAATGAATACAAAAAGCTTAATTATTTCAGTAATGAATAATTTAGTGGCACATGTTGTCAAAGGCAATGTGAACAATCACATGATTAACACTTTTTTTTTTAAAGCTTTTTCTGGTGAATCCATTGAAATTAAAAAAAAAAAAAAAAAAAAAGAAGAAGGAATAATGTCAACCATTTTTTTGTGAGGTGCATCCGGTTAATCTTTTTAGATTATTGGTCAACCTAATTCATTATTAATGGTGCTTATTTAGGTTAATCAACAACCACAAACCCTTACCATTTATAAATATTATCACCAACATTATCATTGACTTCTATCCATATGTTTTAATCACTTAAAAATTAGGTATTAATTGAAATTTTAATTTTTTTTAAGTAATAGATTTAGATTTGAATCATATTGTTTTATTAAGATAAAAAAGACAAATTGAAGACTAGGTTTATCACATTTTATGTTATGTGATCCACCAATTATAAGAAAACAATTATAAAAAGAAATTTATGGTTGGTGTTGGTAGATCTAAGTGTTAATCAAATAAACTAAAATGTTCAACCTTATTTAGCTTTTCTTGAGGAATGAAGACGTGTCTTTTGGGATGAATTTGGGGACAACTTGACTAATCAGTCAAGCACCCGATCAACTCAAGAAAGAAAGAGTGAAAAAGGAAGGGGAGACAGCCCAAGAGGGACATGTATCCTCCCTACAAACCTCCAAAATAGACAACGGTGTGAGCTTGCAGTCATCTCAAGCTACCCCTTAGAATCAATGACACTTGGAACAGTAACCATTTCATGTGAGGAATAGTATGTCCATGATGGAAAGATAGTGATTCCCTAATGAGTTCTCTTTAATTCACTTTTTGGATGTTTTGATTAAATTATTGTAACGGCACATGGTCTCATGGCTAGGCTAAGTGCTTAATATACCCCTTTCTAATTGAAGATGCATGATTATATATTAGCAATAAGAGAGCTGAGGCATGAGGGCATGAGGCCTTGTTGGGGCGCTTTTGCTTTTCTTTTCTCTCTTTATCTCCTTGTCAGCCACAGTTTCTTTATTCCTCCTATTGTTTTGGGCCTAAAAAACAATAAAGCAAAATAGAATATAAATTGCATCTATGCACTCACATTACCACTACTGCTTTATCTTGGAGGGGTAAAAAGCTGTATATATGCATGTGGATGACAAATCATATTTATGCATGGAATTCCTGTATCATGCTCTTATGGCATGCATTGGATTCAGCTCGATCCCTTCCATTTATATTAAAATTCTCTCGATTGATAAAGGGAATTCAAGCCTCCTACTGTAGGAAACAAGATACAGATTTTGCCTTGCTGGGAAATTCTTAGCAAAGTCTTCTAACATTTTATGGGAATAATGTGAATTAATTAACCCTCGATTAGTCTCATTCTTCTTAATTAAGTTTGTGGGAAACCAGAAGGAACAGGAGCTAGAGGGGCTCAGTCATATATATGGCCAGGATTGCCAACTCAAACAAACAGTTGTTTTGATTTAAAGCATAAAGATTATATATATTAGCACAAATGACCTTCAAAAAACTACAAATATATCATAAATAATTATCTTTCGCTGACAATACATTGCATAAGCAAACAGTACCTTGTTCACTTTTTGTACTTTGGGTGAATATTGTAAAATCTCTGCTTTCTGATGGAGGAGAGGGCATGCATAGAGAGAGATATCATCTTACTTTTGTTCCTTTGCTAGAAGGTTGTGGATGTGCTGGCTTCTCAACCTTCATAATTACAAGTTACTAGCTAGTTAGAATTTTGGTTTAAACAGCTTCGGTTTCAGGGTCAGCTTGAGACTAATCCCTCACTTATACATCCATTAAAACATGGCACCTTTATACGGTTTATAGGCATATGTTTCATTATTCTTTCATATTCTATGAATTTGTGCTTCGGGACCTAATGATTCATTTTTTAATTTTAGTACTCGAATAAAGATTATTAAAATTAAAGTCTTACTAATTATTTAAATATTTATACTTAACTTATGAAATGATTGATGGTTCTGTAACTCATGGATTAATCCATTTCCTCTTTCCTCTTATAATTGTTCTTGTTCAAAAAAAAAAAAAAATCCCTTCACACTTTGCATAATCAAGTGGTGCACTGACGTATATGTACTACTGTACTGACTTTTATGAATTCAGCATGGTATACGTAGACTAGACAGATACAGCTAGCAAAACCCTGGAGGATGATACATTAGAAAATGTTATCGTGAAAACTAAGTTGTATCATATCATGACTTCCACCAATAACGATATAGCATAAAATAAGATCAAGATCAGCTCCAGTTAATTCATCTACATTTATTTAACTAATTAATTAATTAACCAATTAAAACATATATGTATATATGATTAAATTAATAATGATGATCTAGACTAAGACCATGATAAAATATGTGTTTTTCTAATATGTATTTTAAAGGTATTTGTTAAAAGTATTTTTTGATATTAATTTTTATTAAAAAAATAAAAGTTAATCTTTATATATTTAATTATTCAATTAAAATAATCATATGACATTAATAATGAAATTAATGTTAATTTTTATTATTTTTAATATCAATTAATATTAAAAAATAATATATTAATTATATTATTAACCTATACTTTAAAAATATTTTGTTTAAATCCTTCAAAAATTAATGTACGGACATTTGAATCTAAGACACTAATTAGGCAGATGAGATTAGGAACATGTAAGAGGTGCCATCAGCTGATGAATAGAATGCTACCACGTGTCGAGAGGTTTGTGGTAGTCTAATTCTGACCACTAATTAATTTAATCCTCCATTCTTTTTGATATCAACATGCAGCGAGACTTACAAATAGGTGGATAAATTAGTAGGAGATTTTTTTAATTTTATTAAAGATTTTAATTTAAAATTTTGAGAATGTAAATTTATTAAAATTTATTAAAATTTTTTTTATTATTTATTGTATTATACTCGATTCAAATCTAAATTAGTTGGTGACACAATAAATTCTTAAACAACGACTGGTCCAAACCAAAATTCAACATACACTAAGAATTTTTTTTTTTTCCCGTTTTAAAGACACCGGTGGGATTTAAACTCTATACTTCTATAAAGATGGGATTGTCTTTTATAGGGCATGGGTAACTACTGGAGTTACAAGGATTTTTCAATATGTGCTAAAGATTTGATATATATAATTTTGTGATTTGTAATTTAATTAGTAATATAAAATTTTAAATCGAAAGACATAAGATTCTTTCTCCACTTAATTATAATTTAAAGTAATGCAATTATAAATTGTATAATAATTTCTTGATATATATGCGTCACTAAATTAATTAATTAATTTTACTTGACAACTGATCAGGCCTTTCCATTTCAATCCCTCTCAAGAAATTGTTAAGTATAGGATTGTTGGCGTAAAAAACCTCTTTTGATCAATTCTTTAGCCGCAGCCTTAGTATACTTTCTGCAAATTGGATCATCTACCATTCAATGTTAGTCATCTGTCTAACAAAAGGATAAATATTGGTTTTATTTTTAATAGTAATTGATAATTGAAATTTTGATGACATGCTATGTAAAAAAGTTTCATTTCTCTTATAATTGATGGATACATATCTTATTGGGGTGAGGTGGGTAGGTTTTGTTTGCTTTTGACATGTGAAAATTAATCCTAGGATAAGATATAGATGAAGGATGTCCACTACTAATCTGCTAATGACAAAAAGTGATCATTTTAGTATATGAAAAAGTAAAGACGAAAGGGCAACCACAACAACTGCTCCATGAAGGGATGTGTTTAAGACTTTAAGCACTAGTTATTGACTGTTGATTTGCTATTTTAATTTTGTAAATGGCCACACATGAAAATTCACAAATTTTAGTGGGAAAAAAAAAAATGAATGTCCTTATAAGCTATAGTATCGCCCTAATATAAAAGATTAATAATAAGGGCCTTCCCCCTTCTCTCACCTTGATTTTCTCTCTTTTTTTTTTCTTTTTCTTTTTTCTCCTAGTCGTCACTATCTCTCTCCTTTGGCAATTTGAATGGATGGCTATAGGTAAGAGTTCTCTCTTCTTTAGTGTGGGTTTTTCCCTCTCTTGTAGTGGTTTCTCTCTTGTTTTTTAGGTGTTTTGCCTTAACTTTTTCAAATAATTTTTTATTAAGATTTATTCTTGTGAAAAGAGAATGATAACTTGAACATAATATTAGTTAGACTTAAATCAGTTGTTGTACTTACTTTAGTTGTTGAAGACATAGTTGGAAATAAGTCTTTAACTAAATTTTTTTTGCCCTATTGCTAAATTTTGTTTGTCCAAACCAATTTATTTTCGATCAATATGGATTGTACTAGAATAGGGTTTAGCTTCTTATAGAATAGTGCATATGAGTTACACTATTATAAAAGTTTGGATCTTGTGGAGGTTTCTCTATCTTTTTTTAAGGTTTTTGTCTTGACTTTTTGGAGTACTTTTTATAAAGATTTGTTTTTGTCAAAGGATAATAATTTGAGCATGATATTAGTTAAACTTAAATAAGTTGTTATATTTAATTTATTTATTAAAAATATAGTTGGAACAGAGTTCCTAACTAAATTTTCTTTGCCACAACCAATTTATATTCTATCAATATGAATTATGTTAAAATATAATTTAATTGCTTATTGAATACTGCGCATCATTTACCTTGTCATAAAAAGATTAGAGTTTCAATTTCAAAAATATCACTTCGATAAATATTTTTAAAAATTCAAAATTAAATGCTCTTTATTGTAGATCATACATAGTGTTCAAGTAATTAAAAAGATCTAACTAATTTATTAACTACACAAAATTTAATATCATTATATATATTAAAAAATAATTTTTTTATTAAATAATTACAAATATTAAATTAACTTAAAAATTATCAATGTTTAAGTAATTCAATGATAATTTTTTTTAAAATAAAAAATTTTAAATTTAAATTGTATAATGTACAAATGTAGTAAGTTAAAGAATAAAAATAGATTACTTCTAATTATAAAATTCAATATTTAAAAAAAATTAAGAATTAAAATGCATAATATATTTATACAATATTAAATTCAACAGCTCCCTTTTTACCAAAACCCATTTTAAGTTCCCTTAGGATCTAAATATTATTTTCAATAGTACGTGTTGAAAAAAGTTTCCCTTCGGATCTTATGTTAGTAGAAAAGCAGGATGGAAAAATCTAAAAATGACGACGAAGTAATACCAGGAAACAGCAAGAAATATTGAGGGAAATTTTTATATTGAGTCTCCAATACCCTTTACCACTTATATATATTCAACTGCATAATTAACCACTTGCTACGGTTACAAAACAAGGAAATGAGAACCCAAGAACCGACACTGCAAAATCTTACCAATTACTAAAGATAAGGGAACTTCTCCTAGCAAAATTTGCAAACTAAATTATGGGCAAGGGCTGGGATATGAGTCATGCAACCATAATACCTAGAAAAAAAACTTTTTCCTTGACAAACTAAAGCCAAAATTCTGCCCTCGTTTCATCTAGAAACAAGATTGCTTGCAACTATAATGAGAAGATCCATGCAATCATCCTCAACCATGTTAAGATGCATATAAATAAAACCACCTAATACCTCGTCTGTTTGTCCCAAAGAAAATAATCTAACTTTGTCCTAGAAAATTTTTAGTTTCTTCACTTGGCACAGCCTCTTTCTCTATGCCTGTTGGAATACCATTGAAGCTTTCTTCACCACCAGGACCAAACTTCTTGGGGATTTGATCACCCATGTTCAGTACCACATTGGCTGGCCCAAAAGTTGGCTCCTTAGTTGAAATCCCCAAGCCAACATTGATAGATCCAGTTTCTACTCCAACCTCTGGACACACTTCCATATCGAAATCCTTATCTGCATTTTTATCATGCACAGAATCACTTTCAACAGAGCTACTCTCATTTTCTGGAGTCTGAGATTCCCTTCCTTCAGTTTCATCAAGCTTGACATCCTCTTCCATCATCTCTACAATGGGTATAGGAAGTCGTTGTTGCAATGGCACTGCATCACTTACCACTTGACTAGTTCTTAATCTTTCCCTGTAATCCTCCATCTCTAATCTGTATCTTTCTTTGTCTTTAAGAGCTTTCTCCTGGTAAACCTGAAAAACACATGATGTGCGATTAGGCAAGGGAGTAGATGATAAAATGATGGGCTATGAGTAACAAGACTAGTTGAATTCATGAAATTAAGAGGCATGACTAATTGTTTGTTTCTGTACTTACTGCCTTCTCTGATTCCTTTAGTTTGTTCCATAGTTCACCAATCATTCTACTAATTTCCCTGTCCTTTCCTGGGTGAAGTGGTTTCAGTCTTGCATGCTGCTCAGCAAAGAAGAAGTTGTATCCACTTCTGTTAGGTTTAGGGTGAGCTGGATCCCTCCTTTTAATCTCAGATTTTTTCCTGCGTCTACGACGCTGTACACCAGATGCAGGATGGATGTTCTCAGTCTTGCCCAAAACACTATACTGCTGTGGCATTTGGGGTACTATGCTCTGTGGAGCCTCATAAAGAACACCCTTTAGCCTCTCTGAGCCTATTGTGACTGTAACAAGATAACCACTCTCAAATTTGCCATCAATAACCCCAATCACAGGAGAACCTGCTGATGTTGTTGATCTTGTTGCTGCACCATAAAAATGATGTTGTTAAAGTAGATGCAATCAAAAATAAGAAATAGAGAATCAAGAATTCAAGGGATCAATATTTGCTCCTAAGGAAGCACCAGCATTCAGCATAGAAAAACAGAATGTCACCTGCAGCCAACTCTGCAATGTTTACTCCTGGATGCTGGGCTGAGGCTGCATGCATTTCTATCGATGGTCTTGCTGCTCCTTGTGTAGGAGCCATTGTAATGGATGGGCTATGGAAAGAATCTGCAAAGTTTCATAATGTAATGATTATGGGCAGTCCCGAAATATTAAATCAAAGAGAGTTGAATGCACAGCATTAGCACCAGCAGTAGTAGTGGTCCAACCACGAGCTTTAAAGAAGTAGAGTTGCTCGTAATGGTGAAGTAGAGAACCATAATACTTGCGCAATACAAAGGAAGCATTTGTAGCAGTGCTAGGAAAGTTGAAAATAGCAGTAACTTCTTTCCATCTTCGCTCTCTTATAACCTGAAAATCCAGTTGGGAAATTATAAATGACTAATAGAGCAAGCAGCTAACCCACTAGTGAAAGTCACCAAACCAATTGTTAGATGAAGTCATGAGAGTCCCCAATTTGCATGTTGTAACAATAATAAGAAATAAATGGAAAAAATTGGTTGAAATCCACAGGTGAAATTCCCTGGGAACTAGTACTGCACTGCTCATAGAAGATCATCAATGGAAATGCTTATTTTCAACTTTCAACCCAGGAAACTTCGGTAATGAGTACATCAATTAGAACCATGTCATCCAAGGTGTTTCTAATGGAAGGTTGCAAAGTTTCTTACCTTCTCAAGACCACCTCGGGATGTAACCTCTACAAAAAGTCGGTGCAGGTCTAACTCCTTTCCTCCTATAATGGGAATCCTATAGTCAGAATACACAAAAGGAGAAAGAAAATGGTTAAAATGAAAACATTAGAATGCCATTAGAAGATAAGAAAAAAAATTTAGGATGATGAAAGATGATGCACATGATCCACAATGGTAACACAAAATTAAGTTGATAAAGAAATGATGACACAAATGATCCAAAATAGTAAGACATCCAAAATTTTTTCATGATAGCACCAAACTAGGAAGATACAGATAAATCTTGTGTGAGATTATTAATAGCCATCCGTCCCACATTTTAACTGACAATAAGAATGCAATGTGGGGAGCAGAACTCAAACAAAAAACAATGATAGACATATAATGGCTTCCAGATGGGCATATGAGCATGATAGAAATGGATACCCATAAAGAAAGAAATAAAGCACAAAAGTTTTTGAGATCATTTTCAAATGATAAGCAACTTACTGTGTATGTAATGAATTCAAACAGAAACCAATAATGCTCTTCATGTATGCTAGGGGGTGAATCTTGATAACTAGATTTCAATTTACATGCCTAAAAATATCACTAGATAAGTATAAACTATTGAATTCTCTTCACAGCCCCCTTCTCAACATCCCAAAATGCTAAAAAGGGTCATTTCCATAAAACATTGAGACTGTGGCACCATGAGTTTTGCTTCTATTATTTATGTTCCCTGGACTAGGGAATAGGCAGTAAACACATACCTTCATTTAATCTAAGTACAATTTTTGTTGTTACTTTTTCTCAAGATCTCAGTTTGGGAACCATCCCCTTCTTTCCTACTATACCAAATAGGTCACATATATACACCAAATCCAGATATCTATCTGTATCATACATGTGAAATACTTTAGTCAATTTTCTCTTTCACCAAAAGAAGTCAAATATTTCCTAACAAAAACTGCGATTCATGTGAACTCTAAGACTTTCATATCCGATAAATAAGACAGTTGGCAGTCAAGTGTTTTTCAAGATTGTAGATATTGGAAAATCAGAATAGGTGCCTTATCACTATTTCTTATCTGACAAAGCCAAATCATGTCCACAAAATGCAAGACGCCAAAAGCCTTCACATTACCATAGAGATAACTCAAGTTACCACTTCAACTCCATAACCTTCTAGCAAAACAAATCTAAAAAAGGGATCTTTTGCAACAATACCTTAAAATTAGAAAAGATCAATCTCTTTAGTTACATACATTTATAAATTATATCTAGTTCATGGAAGGATAATTCAGTACATAAACATCTATGAATGTGTGTATGCCAGTGAAGGCTTACATGAACTTGGTGCTCATAGCAGCATGGAGGTTCTCTAAAGTAGACATGAAGAGCATTGGACTGACGACAACATCCTCGTATCTTGCAAGAGGTGCTGGATATGGATTATAGCCGGGAGCTGGTTCGTTCATGGGCAAAGGGCCCGGCTTGGCATAGGAAGTTGATGCCATTAGCAATCCCTTTTTTCCCTGACTGTTACAGTTTAGCCAACAAAATAACCATTCAGGCATTTTACAGTCTCTCCTTTAATGCAACTAGAAAACAGAAAAATATGAAAAGAAAGAGAAGAGTGAAAGAATCCATTGTAACAAACAGTGCTATACAGTTAAACTAGGAGCAGAAGATGAAAAGCAGCGAGGAAATCTCAGAATGGCATCAAGGATATTGCTAGAAACACAAGACGGTAAAAGGAGAAAAAGCCCAGGAATGAAGAGAAACAGACAAACACAGGGAAAAATCTGAAAATGTAAAGAAGAATATATTAAAAGTCGAAACACAAATAAATAAAAGTCAATAATAATAAGAAAGAAAACAATAAAAGTACTCAAGAACCACCATGCACAGGGCTATAGCAGAACTGAAACAATGAAATGAAGCCACCTTGGTGATAGCATCAACAACCTCAGTTGATGTAATAACTCCCAGTAACAGGGGAGAGGATGCAAAGCCCAAGAAAAGCAAAATCATAGCTGTCATAGCCATGAATTCTCTCAGAGTACCAAGGATTGAACAGAACAAAAAGAACCCATCAAAAAAGCTCAGGCCTTTTCATACACTAGAGGCTAAAAAGAAGATACCCTTTTAGGCTTTGGTAATAAACACCCATACCCATTGATTTTGATACCAAAAGTCTCTTCCTTTCTTTCTCTATCAGATGCAGAGTTTTACAGGCCTAATAGGCTATAACCCTTGGCTGACATTCTTAAGGATACGTTGATATCTCATGGATACTGTATTAAAGAAATGAATCTATAAATATGCCCCCTACAAAGTCCAACAACTCCTTTCTTTTCTGACACCATATCAGGGAAAAGATTAAAGATTTGGGAGATATGCTTGGTGTGTTCTTGTGGGACAGTAGGATGGTGGTGCCCCCATCAATCCAGAACCCAATGGAAGAAAATGGAAGGAAGGACGAACCCAAAACTCACCTTTACCCAAAGGACCCATTAAAATCTTCAATTTTCAAATCAGGAACCTGTCCTCCTGCCTCTTTCATGGAGGACAATGAAATATACCAAAATGCAATACAGAATGAAATTACCCTCAATACAAAAAATGCAGCACTGTTCCATTAATTTATTTCTTCTTTCTAGTTATGTTTTTTTTTTTTTTTCCTTATATTTCCATTATATAGCAGACAAAAGAAGAAATAGAAAAGAAACCCAGATGAAGATAAACCTGATATTTAACTTACCAAAGAATAAGATGGGAGATTTGAGCATGAAAAATGAAATGAAATTAAGGGAGAAGTTTAAGAGTAACCCTTAATATAACAAAAAGAAGGGAGAATTATTATTTTCTTTTTGTTTTGATATTTAATAATATAAAACAAAAAGATAAATAAAAAAAAAAAAAAAAAAAAAATTAAGGGAGAAGTTTAAGAGTAACCCTTAATATAACAAAAAGAAGGGAGAATTATTATTTTCTTTTTCTTTTGATATTTAATAATAAAAAAA